TGCGTTACCACATGAGCTCATACCATCTAAAAACTTATACGCCCAGCAACCAACTCCGAATTCATACAAAAAATAGTATCTTTAACTTCTTCCAACAAAGGAGACTTAGACAGGAAAACATTATTCTCATGAGTAATAAGAAAAGGAATAATATTAGGATCATGAATATTGGTAGGAATGAAATTTTTATTCAAATGATTCTGAAAATGAAGAACCGCAAGGCTAGCAATTTTAGAATCTTCTTCAATAATAGTACCATCAGCACTTTGAATTTTATGAATGCAATTAATATTGCACTTCCTCTTAACTAAAGCATGGAAATATTTAGTATTGTTATCCCCTTCAACAAGATATTTAAAAGCCACTTTCTGCTTCCAAAATAACTTTTCTTGAGCTTGTAACTTAAAAAGCCCATCTTTAGCTTCCCTCAAAAGACAGAAATTAACCTCATAAGGAAATAATTGGCATTGAGATTCCTGGCAAGAAACTTTATCCTTCACAATTAAGATGTTAGTAAAAAGATTCTTAAACACATTATGATTCCACCAGTTCAAAACAAACTTAAGTCTTTTCAGTTTATACCACAGTCTACGCATACCAGATATAGAGTCGTTTGAATGTAAAGGAGCACATCAATTATCTTTAATCACATTCATATAGAGAAATATTATGAATATGGCATAAGTTTTAAACTCTAAGCTTAGAAGAGGGGCAGCCAATACCTTTAACATTCCAAATAATAGCATTAAACATAAAAAACAATTTTACTTCAAAGTGAGAGAACGAGTATTTCTAGAAGTTTGAGTTTGGATGATAATAGCTTTTGGCTTCCGTCCTCTTCCTACCAAGACCCTTAGAAAAACTTGTATCATTATCATCTCTAGCATAACATTTAGCCAAAATGTTCATGTCCTCATTATCAGTAAAAGCATCACTATTGTAATTAGTATTCAAAAGAAAATTACTCTCATTACCCATACCTGAGTGCTCCTTAGTAAATGCCATATCTCTTTCCTCATAGAAAACATCACCTGCCATATAAGTTTTATTGCGAACCTCAACATCCCTTATCTTCTCAACCTCAAATTGAGAGAAACTGTGATGAGTAACAATCGCTTGCATCAAATTATTAATCACAACATCCTCCAAGAGAGGAACCACATAAGAAGAAACATTATTTAGCTGAGCCTCAATATTTTGATCAACAACTTTACTAGAAACAATAGTTAAATGGGAGATAGAGTTAGGAATTACTTCCTTACAATTCTCAAGATTAGTAGTATTAGCTTGCATAATATCATCCACCAAAAGAGGAACCACACCAGTAGCCCAGGTTAAAGTAGAAGACACATTTTACTAAGAATTTTGAAACTATACAGCAAATTGAGAGAGATTTGTACAGTGAAATGAATAGCTGAGCCCATTTCAGAGCTCAGATGCATCAGCACTCATGAATAATAGTACTACTAATCCTCTCATTACTGTTAGGGAAATTTACATACATATCATTTTATTTCATGCTATTTACATATCTAACATCCAATACATTAATATTACATGTTTACCACCCATATAAAACTTCAATATCAAATATACCAACCACTCTTATAATTTATTCATACCATTTATACATTCCTATAAACTTTACTATTTCATTCCATGCATTCAAATTTGTTTTATGGGTGGTAGACATTTAATATTAATATTTTGAATGTTAGATATGTAAATAGCATAAAATAAAGTGGTAATCAAATGGTATTATGATATGTAAACATTATAAGAAAGAAGTGTTGAATTTCTAAGAGTTATTAAGGGATTTCTTATGGAGTTTCTTTACCTAAGCTGAAAGGACTGCTCAGCATATTAATGATTATAATTTCAATATTATACGTAATTAAAGGAGAAAGATGAATATTAATTAAATTAATTTACCTCATCTATGCTCAAATTAATTAATAAAGCCAAAATTTTACACTTACATCGGAATGCTTGATCATCAGCTGGTGGTGTCAAGTTCTTCACCTTCACAAAACTATGCTTCTTTTCAATTTTCAAAAATAGAAATTTAAAATAATAATAATAATAATAATAATAATAAGCTATTAGTACACTTATGTTTCATTTGGGATATTTTTTATTATTTTTTAAAATTAAATTTTAATATAAATTTTTTTTAACTGAAAATTTTTTAAATTAAGTAGTAGATTTATAAAGTAGTAAAAAAAGTCATTCCAAGCAAAATATTAGGCATTCTTTAGGACAATTTTTTATTGTTTCTTAAAGTAATTTTAAGCTGTTTTAAAAAAAAGTAAGAAATTTATCTCAAATGAAACATTAATTTCCTTTACTAAAGCATGTAAAGAATTTTTTTAATGGGAAATTAGAATCTTATATAGAAATTTAACTAATTTATAAAAATAATGGAAAAAAAAAACTTTAGAACGTCTTATCGTTTTTTAAAACTCCAACTATCTCTTAATATCAACGGAAAAATAAAAAATTAAAAAAGATCAAAATAATTTGATTAAAAATTGGCCAATATGAATATTAAAGCTCTTGAATATAATTTTAGATCGGCGGAATACAAGAATTAATTGACTGTTGCACTCAGCAAAGTAAAATTAAGAGTTTTCAACCTGAAAGTAACTAAATTTTGATAGTTAAATTTGGCTTTTTATTATTTTTTAAAACAGTTTTTAATTAAAAAAAATTAAACTAATTTTTTAACTATAATTTTTTTCAAAAAAATAATAAAAAAACTGTTCCAAATAAAATCTTAATAGCCACCTTTAAATAATGCAATTATAATCTCTTTAAGAAAGAGCAAACCCTTATTTTTTAAAAATAATTATAGAAATTATGACAAATTTAACATTTTTAGATTCATTTATCTTGCCGCCCTGAATAAATGGGTACACATTTTTTTCCCTCAACCCTAAATCTTAACAAATCAAGACTATTATTATAGCAGATAAAATTATAGGACCTATAACAACACCATAGAAAATCATAACTAAAGTTTCGTTTGGGACGACTTTCTTACTGCTTCTTAAAATAGTTTTCTAAAAAAATCCTCTTTAAGAAGCAGAAACAAAGCTATATCAAACAAAACCTAAAGCTAGCCGAAAAGCTTTAAAAAAAGCTCTAATGACCTCTGGCTACAATTATCATGAACAATATTGCTGTAGCATCCATAATCAATAGATAAAGAAACAGAAATTTTCATCAAATGAACATTTTCTTCATTTAAAAAAAAAACCATCAATTTTAGCATAGTCCTTAATAAAAAACTTTTAGCATAAAAATCCTATAGTTTTATTACATATATAAACTAAAAAAAAAAAAAACACTTCCCAGGGCTCCTGAGGTTAAGGATTCTTCACCTGAGGAAGGAATGGTTTCTGCAACATAGTAGTATTCTCAAACATCACTATTCTATGGTTCATTTGATACTCCCGAATCTGCATATAAGCAATTATAATTTTCAAACCATATCTAGAGAGAGAGAGAGAGAGAGAGAGAGAGAGAGAGAGAGTATATATTAAATTAGTTTACCTCTTCTGTACTCAAATTAATAAAGCCAAATTTTTGCACCCACATGGAAAGGCTATGATCATCAGCTGGAAGTATCAAATTCTCCACCTTCATGAAACTAAGAATCTCTTCAATTTTCAAAAACAGAATTTTGAAGAAGCCCTGTATAATGCAAGAAAGGTATTGGCGCAATTAATCTCCTTGTTAACTAATGAAAATGAAAAATATTTCAAGAAAAACGTCAACATAAATAGAAATCATATTAACTTGCAAAAATCACTTTAATTTTAAAAGAAAAACCTATGACTTTAGTCACATTAATTTTAAAAAAAAAATTATGCAAAGATATTCTAATCAACATTTAGTCATAAAGAGTAATTAACTTTTGAATTTATTTTGAAATGAGTGTAATAATACACTGATCTCAAACTAAATATAAAAATGTTAAAAAACATTATGATTATTTTAATCAGCTTATCCTGAGAAAACCTCATTTTTTAAGAAATTATAGAAATGATAACAGTTTTGACTTCATTCATCTAACTCTAAGAAGAAAGTGGCTACACAATTTAAACAAAAAAAAGACCATTTTATAAGAGTAACGCATAACTCTAAAGTACCTATGACAGAAATATAGAATAAAATCTCAACTAAAGCCATCTTAAAAGCTTAAAAATAAGGTTAAAACACACCAATGCTTTAATTATCATCTTAAATATCACTATAGTATCCAAAACCAATTGCCAAAGAAACAAAAAAAAAACATCAAATAAGTAAAAATTGTAAGAAACTCTTAAACAAAATTTGATGATTTATTTTGAAATGAGAACAATTTAAGGCATAATTGATTGCCAATGCATTGCACTCACCTGAAAAAAGTAATGGTCTAAAAGTCCATCCTAACTAATTTTTTATAAGAATTTTTCAATATAATTTTTCTCCATATATTTTGTTTTTGTTTTTTGCTAATGATCTCACGAGACATTTGCAAGAGGTTGTACCCTGGTGTATGCTTTTTATTGATGATATTCTGCTTGTTGATAAGACTAGAGAGGGAGTTGAAGGTAAACTTGAATTATGGAGACCAACCTTAGAGTCTAAAAGATTTCATTATAGTAGATCTAAAACTAAATATATGAAGTGTAATTTAGTAATAATAATTCTAGTGGGGGGACTGTGATTTTGGGTGATCAAGTCATTAATAAAAGTACACATTTTAAATATTTTGGGTCTATTTTTCAGAGCGATGGTGAAATAAATGGAGATATTATTAGTAGAATTCAAGTTGAATGGTTGAAGTAGAGGAATACATCGGCTTGTGTGATAGAAAAGTCCCCCTCAAACTTAAGGGAAAATTCTATAAGATGGGGGCTATACTTGCCATGCTTTATGGTGCAGAATGTTGGCCATTAAAAGAGAAGCATAATATTAAGTTAAGTGTTGCAGAGATGACGATGGTGGATGAGTGGCTTTACTCTTAATGATAAGATACAAAATGAGCATACATGTGAAAAGGTTGGAGTAGCTCTAATGCAAAATAATAGAGAGAGTCACCATAAATGGTTGGTCACATAAAACAACGACTTTCCGATGACCCGGTTATGAAAGTAGATGTATTAGATTTGACTTATGTTAAGAAAGACAGAGGTAAACCTAAAAAAACTAAGTTATAAAATATTAGAAAAGACCTTTCTTTTTTAGATTTAAATGAGAATTTGACTTTTAATAGGGCATAATGGAAAAAAATTGAATTCACCTCCAATAGTGGGATAAAGGCTTGATGTTGATGCATGTATTTTGTTTTTGTTTTTATCAAAGTATTTGTAAAACCTAAGATAGAAAGGCTTTAAAGAAAATGAGGGGTGGAAAAGTCGTTGATCTGATGATATTCTAATAGAGGTGTGGAAATGCCTAGGAGAAGAATAAATTTTTTGGCTTACTAAACATTTTAATATTGTTTTGAGGACTAAAAAAATGTCAGATGAGTAGAGAATAAGTATGTTGATTCCTATTTTTAAGAATAAAGATGATGCATAAGATTGTGTGAATTATAGAGGATTTAAGTTAAAGTATCATACTTTAAAATTTTGGGAGAGAGTTATGGAGCATAAGTTATGATGTGATACTAATGTTTCTCAAAATCAATTTGGATTCATGCTAGGTAGATCTACTATGGAAGCTATATATTAATTTAGAGGTATGATGTAAAAGCATAGAGAGATGTGGGCTCCGAAATTTCAGCCCCAGCCTCCGCCCACTGTGTTTTTTCTTCGGGGGAGTTTTAACGAAATTAAGTTCTAGGGTAAATTTTGAGAAGGCATATGGATTTGTAGATAAGACACTAACCAAATATTTCGCCCTCATTTTGCAAGGACTTTATGATCTGAGTTCTGGTTTCCTATAGGAGCAAGCCCATATAGTTAATGACCCCTCCTGATAATGAGAGAGATCTTTCGATTAAGGCTAGCCGTCAATCAGACATGTAGGAATACGAGTTATCTGGCATATAGTAGCATCATGGGCATAGGTATTGGAGAATTTTGAAGATTTGATATTTAAAAATAAAAATTTCACCATTTTGCACTTAAAGCGGATAGTGGGGGAATTGATGATGGACCCGATCAAGATCCCATGATTCCATTTTCCCAAGCCATCATGGTCCCTGGTCTACTTAGTCAGAGGAGGTAGTCGACCCAACCTGACAGAAGGATCTTTGTCGGCAGCCATGGGTTGTTTCATTCAAGTACCTTGTAGATCCGGGTTGGATATTTATCTAAGGGGACAAATTTGAACCCACCTTAGCTAACAAAGGGCTTTGCGCTCTATCGATTATATCCTATTGATTCATATCTCAAATATTTAATGTCACAAAGGAATTTATTGGCTTTGGCCATAACCGCTATCTCGTGGTGTTATTTGGCGGCAAAATCACTCAGTTCAGAGGGTCCCGGGTCATAACCTTTTATCCTACGGTGTCATTTGACAGCAAAACCGCCGGTTAGAGGACACGTATCACGTCCTTACTAACAGGAGATTTATTTTAGAATGGATCTTAGTGACATTTTTTATTGGGCATTAGCTCTTTGTAAGTTGAAGTATATTTCAATTTGTCCACCCTGACAAACTATTTCGGAGGATGGATGGATCTTGCTTTAAGCATTTAGTGGTTTAGTTCGATTTTAAATATTTGGATTTTGTGATTTTTGGATATTTCTGGGAGCTTGGGTGTCATTTTGGATATTAGAAATTGACATCGGTTGAGATCTGCATTCAACACGGTCATCATCGGGGTGTTTGGGAGCATTTTCATTTTATGGATTATTTAATGAACCTCGTCGATTCTTATTTACCTTCTTAGTAGGATCGAGTTTAATTTATTGAGCAGCACAACATGCCTGGACGTCATGTGTGTTCTCACAACACGCTCGTCGAGGACCATGCGAGTGTTTGGGGGCATTTTATAATTATTTGATGAACCTCGTCGACTCTGATTTACCAGCTTAAGAGGATCGTGTTCAAATTTATTGACCCGCGCAGCATCCCTAGACATCACGTGTGTTCCCACAATACGCTCGTCGGGGCTCATGCAGGTTTATGATTGCATTTACCCCTTGTGTAACTATGTGTATACAAGTTATAATACATTGTGGGGGTATTTTGGACATTCAACGGGTCTTCTACGATGGCTCGTAGAAGTTCATCTTTGTCATAACCTTTTCAGCATTTTCTTGTGGATAATATGTTGGATGCATGACCACTTGCAAGACTCAATAATCTCATCCAACTCAGTGTTCGGAACCTGGTTGAACTGAGATTCACTATATAACGATTTGATAAAGATTTGATCTGTCTCTCTCTCTCTCTTCCCAGAAATTGCATTGAGATCGATAGGCAACTTTTGATGTCCTGTACTCCGAAATCTATGACTACAGCTCCGAACTAATGATTGCAACGATCGAGGGCACTTCGGGTCATCCGATAAAATTATGCAAGACATCCAAAAATAATCGTTGAGTCCTTGAGATAATTAGAATAACATTTGCATTTTCCATTTGCAATTGTGAGTTTAGGCCACCAAGTTTTGCATCAATCTTTAACAGCATGTTTGTCAAATATTGATCATTAACTTTTAATGGGCACGATGTAGTGTGTGTTGACATTCATTTGGATACGCTTAGATGTGTATCATCGTTGTTCTTTGCTGCATGTCAAATCTTTCTGATTGCAACTGACAGGTTGAATATGGGACAGGTCTCCTGCAGTGTCATTGAACCCTTTTACCTGTAGGGGATTGATGTGTATTTTCTTGGGATTCAATCACCATTGATGATAGAGATGTCATTGTATTCCTGTATCCATGCCTCTTGACGAATTCATCGTACGTAGGTTGTATTCATTATCATTATTGCTTGCAAGTTAGTGTGTTGATTTATAAGTCAACCAACATTGGCAGCAAAGAAACTATCTTCTTTGTATGATATGTGATCAACCAGTATTGGAAGCAAAGAAACTATCTTCTTTGTATGATATGTGATCACATCCACTAATAGCTCTCCTTGTAATGCTTTCAACCTTCTTCATATAGACTCGCCATTTATCTGATATGAGCATTGTAAGTTCCACAATGGCTATATACAAGTCAAAGGTTCTACAGCACTACATGACATCAAACTATGCATTCATCTTTCTTATTACTAGTGAGTGAGATGCAAAGCCCAACATGGGGTCCTGGTTGGGTACCCATGCTTTACTCAAACGGGCTTCGCCCACCCACACCCACCCATAGTGACTTTCGGGATGCCATACCCACATATACCCACCCACTTTCCATGCTTTTTGAACACAGTCTGTCATGGAGTGATGGCCTTAAGGCTTGTTGCCCTTTGCTCTGATTGTAAACTTTCAAGCCACATATCAGAATTTACCATAGTCGCAGCGTTGTTAAGTGATGCACACTACATAGTCATGATTGTAGTAATATAAGATATACGGTGATTAGCAATGTAAATCGATTTATCCCCCGATGTTGAGTACCCAACCATACCCACCCACAAGGCCATGGGCGTAACCATACCCCACCCATATCCATTGGGTGTGGGTAGGTACATGGGTGGGTGGTGGTATGGATACCCAATGCAAGGCTATGGTGAGATGTAGGTTTC